TTGCCATATCTCAGTCAGATCTTCATGGAATCACTTAAATTTTTGATCAGTCTACAGAAAATTAAAATATCTATCTACGTATGCTATGTACATGAGGTAATGTTTAGTTTCTGTGGTACAATAAATTTTTCAACAAAAGACCGGTTGCAACCGGTCTGGACTGGTTTTTTTTGCATTGTGGACCAATTAGGACTGGTCTAAAAGGGTCTGGTTGTGGTCCCTTAATATCTGGATCGGTCTGGACTGGTTGCAGTTGCCAGTTGCCTCGTTTTGAGCTAAAAAACCAGACTAGACTGGACTTTAAAACACTAGGGGCCGGTGACTACGTGCGCTGTAGTAATTCAACTAATATTCCATAGTGTTGCCCCTTTATGCATTTGGCAACTGTAGTCTGCCTTCATCGGTCTTACGCTATCTGGCACAAGCAGGAGTTGAACATGAGACTTTGGGGACTAAGCCACTGAGCCATTGGGTTTACTTTATGTTGAATACTACTAAGCTATGCGTAGCTTGGTGGTATTCAACAATATAACCAGAAAATTAGGGACAAAAGAGAAAAAAAATAGGGATGGTGCTTACTATTGGTGATGTTATTAGGGTATTGCTTACATGGTCTGTGCACATTTCCAAATATGGTAATGAATGCAAATATAGCCAGAAAATCAGGAAAAAAGAATAAACATGATGTAGACTGTTGTTGACAATATTGGAGTAGTGTTCACATGGTCTGTGCACATGTCCAAATATGGTAATTAATGCAAATATAACCAGAAAAACAGAAAAAAACAGCAGAGACATGATGTTAACCATTGTTGACAATGTTGGGGTACTATTTACATGGTCTGTGCACATTTCCAAGTAGCTGTTGTCAGGTTCAGGGTACATATCCAAAAAAGGAAATTTAAGTATTTCTAGTAAAAGAATAGCAGAAAATTCACAAAAAATAGAGTTGGTATATGCAGTGTATACAATATGAGGCACTGCCTTCAGGGTCCATGTCAGGGTCATTTATATATACCCACAAAAGGAAATATGATATTGTATGACCAAAAGGTCAAGAAATTCAAGATAATGAGGACTCTGCTTGTCAGGGTTCATTCAATGGGATGTCAGGATGATGGTCACATGGCCAATTACCAAAAATGGTCAAAAAACGAAAGTTGTAGCCCTGCACTGTAGCTTCCCAAATCTGGTTGAATTGTGTTCTACAATGCTCCTGTTGTGGAGATATGAGGTAAAAGATTTTCAAAAGTGTTGTGTTTTTTTTTGTTTTTTGTTTTTTGTATTTTTCTCCATGAAAACAACACCAAACAATATGATTTCAACACATTTACAAAGCTAATAGAAAGGGCTACAACTATTGTATCATGGGAAATTTGACCCAAAAAGGAAGGTGCATACCCTAAAAGGGATAATAACACTGACAAACTACAAAAGTCAGTTTATATACACACATTTGTATTTTA